AACCACCTCGCCTTTTTTCCTCTTTTTTTAAGAAAAAAAATAGATTTTTCACGGTACACAGTCGATAGTGTTGGTCGATATCATTTGAAAATCAAATTAAGGCATAATTACAAAAATAAGTTGCAATTGACTTATTTATCGTCAGGAATAAAAATTAAAAAGTCAGATGTTTGAGTCAATTGAAGTATTTTTTTTGATAATTTGTCACATACCTTGAGCAAAAGACTGACAGAAATACGAACAAGACCTTTAACATAATCTTTGGCAGGTCAAAATCGAGAGGGTGTGGGTGGGTGTGGATGCAGGCAGAGAGAAGTAGTATTCACATCCACATCCACATCCACACCCATACGCTTACTTTTAGTGCATCAGCAGTCGCTATTCTCCTTACAAAGCTAGTGTCACATAGATTTTTTATATGGCACCACAACAAGCCAAGGTCTTGCTGCAATCGAGAGTTCTCAATTAGGTTTTATTGATCATTGTGAATCTCTGAATAGTTCTGTTATAGAAAAACGCTGCTTATAAAATTCCGTCCTTAGATATTGATCTGTTGAATTTACTGCAAGCGAAAGTTTTGCTTTATACGTGTTGTTGAAAACTTTTGATACAATGTATGTCCGACTGTATAATTCGGCCAAATCATAGAGAACTATTTCTCATAGTTCGCCATTTTATACGATTTTGACATTTTCGATCGTTTCTAATGGATGATCGTGATTTAGGACGTAATGAACATTGTAAAGCATCATGAGCACATCCTGCAAACGAAAATGGTTTCAAACGTTGGTCCACTCTTTCATGCAAACTATTGATATTGCTGCAAAATGTCCTTAAGTCCGAACGATCTTCAGTTAAAGTTGTTTGACGTATTTTTAATGCTTTTTCATAATATGAAAAGGCATCCGAATGCTTGTCCATTTTTTCATACAAATTACCGATATTGTTAAAAGACGTGATTAAGTCGGGATGATTTTGTGATAAAGTTTGTTGACGTATTTCAAGCGCTTTTTTGTAAAATGTTAGTGCTTCTAGATAGTTATACATCTTATCGTACACCGAACCAAGGTTTTTATACGTAGCAGTCATCATCAAAGTGCTTGAGGGTACTATATTTTTCAGCTTTCCAAATGTTGTTTGATCATATGACAGTGCTTTTGAATAACCCATCGTATTGAAATAAGCCAAATCGAAGTTGTTGTAGAGATCAGCGAATAACGGACTTCTTGAAAGCAAATAATTTTGTGGAGTGTCAATAGCTTCCTTGTGACACGAAAGTCTTTTTTCATATGTATCAAATTGTTTTACACCATTTTTTATATTTTGACACTTGAAACCAGTGTTTATATCGATAGTAGCTGGCTCAGAATGATCGAAAGTTTCATCGTCTTGGTAGACTATAGGTACTTGTCTGTTGCTAGAAGCTCGATTCCTGTAAAATTTATTCGGATAGTAAAGATCTTCAAAGCTATGGAAAGTTTTGCTCAGATATAAATGATTCTGAAACTCAGTTTTCTGTAGAATTTTGCATGAGTCTCGAAGATGTGATGATACAGGTAAGTAATCGTTCGCAGTACTATATAAATGACCGATATTATCATACGTCTTGGCCATATCCACATCCATCAATGGACAGTATATGTGTTGAATTTGCAGGGCATTTCGATAATTTGACAGGGCAGCTATGTAATTTCCCATCGATTGATATACTATAGCAATGGTATTGTAGATCTTAGCTAGTTCAATTAATGTGAATAAAGATTTTCGTTGAAGAATTTCGAGTGTCTTTTCAAGATAGATGAGCGCGTTGGAACTTTCTCCTATCAAATAATGCAATTCACCAACGTTCACGTATACTAAGGCTAAGAAAGGATAAGATGGTACTTGAAAGTTTTGTTGAATTTCAATCGCTTTTTGGAAATATGAAAGTGCCGTTTTAAACGCTCCTCTAGCACTAAATAGTAGACCAAGATTATTATAAGTCATAACCATATCAGGATAAATGAATGTCAGAGATGATTTTTTTTGAATGTCTAGTGCCTTTCTAAGGTATCTAATTCCAGTTGAATAATGTCCTAATGATTTGTGTACCATACCTATATTGTTCAATAGCCTAGCTAGCTCGAGATAATTATTCGAAACATTGTTGTTTGCAAGTTCAAGTGCCTTTTGGTAATATAATAGTGCGCTATTGAAATCATCCTTGACCTTTTTTATGTACCCAAGTTGATTGCAAAGATAAGTAATTTCTTCCCAATTGTCGTCATATTCTGACTCGGGTAGTATCTTATAGATTTCTTCAGCTTTCTCATATTCACCCATAGTGATCATCAATGAACATAGTTTATGTAATTTTGTTGATCCATTAGTCATATTTTGTCTGCATTTCTTTTTTCCGCCATCGAATAAAATGAGGTTCACGTGCCATAAACGATCAGCAACACATTTCATTTCGGCAACACGAAAAATGGTATGCGACGAGAGCAGAAGTTCTTTCTCGGAAATATTGAAATAGTTAGTGTTATTCAATGAGATGTACGGCTTGGATAAGCCCGTTATATCGATTGTCATCTGAAAGAGAATTCCAACTGAGTTCGGAATGCCTAGAGCGCTTTCTGCAAATATATAAGGAACTTTTGAATCAGTACTTGTAGAGAGAAAATTGTTGAATGACACAAAACCACCCTGACTCTGCTTCAACTTTTCAAATTCCCAAATCGAAATGGCTTGTCCTCGGTAGAGAGTCGCTTGTGCTGTTTGACCAGTTTCCCATTGCAATCGCTCAATTTGTTGGTAGAAATCATACATACAACTGGCTTCGATATCTAACTGGTTTGATGTAATTTGATATCGCTTGCATTTTTGGATGAATCGATCGCATAATCCATCACTTGGTTCGTTAAAAACTTCACAAATTAGACTATTGTTTTTATACGTCGTCAACGGTTGTAGTCGATTCAATCTGTTGTGTAAATCTCGTATAAAATAGCGCAATTTAAAAACAGTATCAAAGTCTTTTATCCTCAATGCTTTATTAAGTAGTGAATAAATAAATGATTCTTTTGTGTACCACCAAATAGCTGATGATGAATTATCGTTTCGCTTAAATTCATTAACTACATATGATATCGCATCGTTATTCGTATGTCCGATATGAACAAAATTGACGAAGTCGTTTTTAATCTTTTCGTTATATTTAATTTGAAGTGTCGTCTCTTCGAGTATTTTTAGATACGTGAACGATGAATTGGGTATGTTCAAATTAGAATCTGAAGCTACAGATGTAATACTCTTTGGTAGGGAATTGTGTTTACATTCTCGAACAATGTGTTTCAATTTATTAAAGATTACTCTAATATCATTAAACGTGCCAATAATTTTGCTTGACCTTTTGGTCCACTCTGCGCTCTTCTCATTGTTCGTACAAAAGATGTAAACTGAATCCAATTGAGACATATTATGTATTATTGGCATGATAGTGTCCAGAAAACAAGTAGGAAGAATAAGAACGACTTTTTGATCCTGAACATGTGTAAGAAAATTGACGAGCGAATCTCGCTTATCGAATGTTGCAACAGATTTGATCGTGGAACATATTTTAGAAATCAAGTCATGCATTTCAGTTAAATTTGTATCAAACCAAGCGATGATAACATTTTTTGTTGAATGTTTGTACTTGTCTGGCAAATTACTAGTATGCGTCATAAATGTCGTTGCAGATGTATATTCCGTGTTCGATTTTTTTTCAGTTCGCCCAGAGTAATCTTCTGCAACTACGAAAAACATTAAAAATAATTATTTGAAATTTGAGATTCTATTTGCTTAGAGTTATCCGTAAGTGTAATACTATTACTTGACTACTACTTTCGATTTTTTTTCTTTTAAAATCGTCGGGTACCACTTTCTATTCGCTACGACACTTTTGTGGCTTGGCATTCTATTGCGATTCACCTATATGCTACACTCTTTCTCTATAATATTGTATAAATGCTAATACAAAGTTTTTATTCTGGTTATTTGTCGTTCATTATGTAATCCCCCTCCCCGCAATAAAAGACCCCTTTAATTAATTAATTTTTTTTCTAATTAGAAGCTTTAATTAGTGGATTTCTGTGAAGATATGCCTAATTTTTAGGGTTTGAATGCGGGAATTTGAAGGAAATGGATCCAAAACTATTTCTTGTTCTTTAAAACCTTCAAAATCCTAGTGGAAAACCTGAAAGTCTTATCGGTTTTCTGGAAAACCTTTTTCATTCAAAATTGGAAAAATATGGGACATAATACAAGACCCCACTGAAAAATTTTAATGCTGAGATAGAATAGATGATTCGGGGTCTTCTATTACGGGGGATAGTGTGTCTGACGATCCGAGCGTCTTTCATGATCAAAGTTTATCATCTATATATTGCTATTTATCCTGAAATTTGACGACAGTCTTCCTGCAATATTGAGTCATGTATTCTTTTTTCTTTACATAATTGAAAACTCTCTGCGGTTGTTTTTAAACCTCTCATTACGAACATAGCTACTGTTCTCCTATGTAGTTTGTTTAGTCAATGAAGTTTTTCTTCATCGACAGCATGTCTCAAGAAGAGTCTTTTTCTTGATACAAACAGAATGAGAAATGAAAGAGAACCTTCCCGAGCCCTTACTATTATCCGATATGCCGGCTTTTCGTTTGATGGAGGATTCTAAAAAAAATGAAAATATACAGATATATTGTCAAATTTGAATGTTTTAGTTCTTTACTCGAATGCATAAAATCAGACAATCCAAATGTATCCCATTGGATAGTACCATTTTGATCAGCAATCACACAAGCGAGTCTTGCTGTATTAGGTATATAATCAGCTGAATGTATCTTTTGAGCAGTGCTTATGCAAAGTGTGTGAAAAACAAGTCTGTCTTTCACAACCTGATTTTGATAGATAGTACACATTCTCAACGGTAATCTAAAATACAAGATATTGAAGAAAATAATATAATATGAGTCATAAGTTTTACCTGAGAATGCCATCGTTTATCAAAGCTGATCGATCGATTTTAAGCCAAATTGGATTGTAAGATATTGTGTCTGTTTCAATATCATCACGCAAAAATCCTTTTTGTGCATCTAAATGCCAAATCACTTGTTCTTTATTGTGTTCTTCAATAACAACAGCAACAACAAGTGTCATTTGATCTTGACGCAAAACATGCGATGGGAACTTGGAGAAGAAAAGTGATATAAAATATTTGTTCGATTTCCATCACTGTTATGCAAATATTTTGTCGACTAAAACTTACTTTAATTTCTGGCAGAATACTAGCATATTTGTTATCATGGTCAGTTTTAACCCCTTGTATACGTATGATGTACTTTTTCTTTTTGGAACATATATCTATAGTATCTCGTTGACAACTACTCTGTTGATGTTGAGTTCTTTGGTAAGAAGCAACATCACGTACAAAGACTAAGTGGGATATTGAGTTAGCAACATCAGCAGAACTTGAATGAGTATCGTTGGGTGATGATAAAGAATCATCAAGGAGGCACAGATTCGTGTCAATAATTGTTATTGGAGATCTGGGATCTTCTGATACAGACATACCACTCGGACTGTTAGCTGCTACATGTAATGGTGATAGAGCATTTCCTTCGAATAAAAGACGACAAAAGTGCAAGATATTGAAGCAATTCAAACATACGAAAGTAAGAAAATTCGGGCTCTGCTTCTCTTGTTTCATGAAATAAAACTTGTGCAGGAAGCGTCTTTTTGCGTGTCCGAGGTAATAATTGTCGAAGTCTTTCGGTACATTCATCATCAAAATCAATATACGTTTGAAATTGTTCGTCATACACTTGCAGTTCGAATGAGTCTACACTAATATCAAAACGTGAAGCTATGAGCTCCATGATTTCACTATAAGACATATGTGGATGAACAGATAATGTACTAGCTTGATGATAGCACAGTACGGCAAGATCATACGAAGCCATGTTACAATAAAAACACAACGTCTACTGCGAGTCAAATGTAACCGTATACAAAAGTGGTAGTACGAAAAAAATCAAACTATACTTGTTTTATGTAGCTGCTTTTATTGAGAGGAAAAGAAAGAAAGTCGAGTTGATTCATTCCAACTCATCTAGATTTATTCCAACCTGTTTTGCTTTATTCCGACCTGTGTTGATTTATTCCTACCCGTGTCGATTTATTCCAACCTTTTAGTGTGCTTCCTTCTAAGTCTGTTTGTTCGACCAGCACTTGTTTCTTCCAAGCTAGGTTGATTTTTTTCCAACCTATGTTGATATTTTCCAACTATCAATAAATATGAAGAAAAAAAAGCTATGCTATCCATTACGAGAAAAAAATAGGTGAAAGTAGTACGTAGTTATGAGTACATATGAACAGATTGATACATTGGTTCGATACAAAGACTTGAGTGGCAGAGAACGAACAAAAGTTACCAATAAATTCGGCCCTGAAACTCAGTTCACTGATGTTCAACAATGGACAATATCATGGTGGAAAGGTGTCCGTACCTTTGAAATAGAAATTAAAGATCGGTATGGTAGATTTGTCGATTTTGATGAACAGTACATAAATGACTATAAACCATTTTCTGTCTGTCAATCGATAACATCAACCTCAAAAGTGATTGAGTTACGAATTATCCAGATAGACGGTAAAATTTCTTTATTGATTTTCATCTCTTTTTTACTTGCTTACAAATAGATAATCAGCAAAATCCAGCTATGAATGTTTCTTTACAAACAAGAACCCCCTTATTTCCCATCACAATACAGCAAAAGCATCAAGGCCGTGAGATATTTTCTAAAATTCTAAAATTATTCTTTCTATTATTTTATAGCATCAAGATCATTTGTTGAACAAACTAATAGTGATACTGTGCAAATGGTCTGTCAAAATTGTTTTTCATCTTTATGTACATCTGATTTAATCGTAATAAATCCGAACAAAGCAGGAATGAAATTTACAAAGGATGTCAGTGATATTCAACGTGACCAATACGAGACTGATGAAACTAGTGCGGCAACTAATAAGAAAACCGGCTGCATTGTCAGAATTCAAGGTGACAAAACACACTTAAAAGGAAATGCCGTCCATGCCACTGTAATGCCCACATTAAAAGTAATCACACTTCTGTAATTCTAGTTGAGTTATTTTCAGTTTTAGAAAAAAAAGATACCGTGATAGTTTTCGTATTTGGCAGCACTTTTTGTGAATATTTCAATTTTGTTTTCAGAAGAAACTGATTTTCAATATAGAGTTTTGGGTAAGGTTCCGATTAACTGCTATGGAACATCATATCAGAAACAGATATCAATCAAACTGAATTGAGTTGGTTCAAGAGGACATAAGCAAAAAAGGCTTTGGCCTTTTCTTAGTGTCGCCAAACTCTACATGTGAGCAAAATATGAAATCAAAAGTTAGGCATTCATTGAGATAGTTTCTCGCTAGTTTGGTAATTGTGACGTGGTTTAGGCATGACCTTGGAAAGGATTACGTCAGGAAAACTATAACGAGTTGCGTGATATCACCAAAACTTTTGAGATTTAAGCTTTGATCTTTTCTCTTGGAATAAATTACGATCATTGTTATTAAGTTATCCAGTTCGATTAGTAAGCTTCGTGTAACTGCACTAGGGCAGAGAAGGTGTTATTCTACTATAAGTAACACTAGTACGTTAGTACCGTACCCTTTGGTGCGGAAACGAATTCCTTGAATCATTTATCAATCCTTTCAATATAACATTTTTTTCCCAAAGATAATATTTAGTGACAATACCGATATTTGATAAAACTCGACTAAAGATGTTCGGTGTTGAATAATACGAATCATTAAAGGGTTTTTGGAAGTTTTCGAATTAATTGTCTCAAATTTTGACAATTAACGAGTATAGTCAAGCTTTATACAATTTGGCTGTAACATGAAATATCCTCTCTAGTCCAAAAATAGAACGGGAAGATATTGGAGACGATTTATGTATTCGAAACTTTCGATCTGAAAATTCCATTGTCAAATTTTAACAAATACCGTTATTTTCGCGACAGAGGATTCTCCTAATCGAAAAGTCATAATGCAATACTATAAACTCAGTTCAACCGAAGTAATCACTCAATTTTAATACGTTAAAAATTAACGATTAACAAGTTGCTTAAGCATCAATCTTAATGAAATAAAGGGTGTCTAAAGTGCATTTTCATAAATATTGATAGTTAACTAGAATTATTTGAGCTCTATGTTATTTAAATAACTTTAGAAAAACATGTTTACTTTAGTTGTAAATTATTAGTTAGGTACAGTATTATGAAAACTTATTCCCTTGGTACTATTACTCGAAGTTTGCTAGTTAAATTAGATTGTCTTATTGCAATAAGCAGTATTTTAATATAAGAGAGAAAATCAAAACGCAAAGCCGAAAACTGTACTTGAAACGTTCGAGGTTGGTTTTAGTGTTGGCTCAGGCCTGATTATAACACGAGTTGCTCAATTGAAAAAAAGTATCATTATAATGAAATAAATATGCTGGTACATTTTTCTTAACCATGTGCATTTTATTCTAAAATCAAACAGCTTCATCTATGCCATAATCACATTACTCACTCTTTTTCTTTTTCTTTTTCTTTCTCTATGATGTGCCCGTGAGAGAAGACGAAGGAGGCTCGGTCAAGGATAGTGTAGTTATGTCATGAAGCAATATAAATCATTTATAGAATAGAAATGAAAAGTAATTGAGAACAAGATCAGTGTACTCCTTTTCTTTTCATACGACAGGGACAGACGAAGCTGCGTTTTACATCATATAAAAGGACAGTTGAGTTGTGTAATAGTTCGTTTATGTTCTGTAAGAGTGTGTCATATTTATTTACAAAAACATTTTTCGAATAATTTTGAAAAGTTTTGAATATTCAGTTGCAGTTTTATTTGAAAGTTAACCAGAAAGTTTCTAGGTTTTCGCTAGAATGTTAGCATATCCGAATACAAGTGAAACTTTGAGAAATTTCCTGTCATTATTTTTCTTTCTTTCTATTAGTATTGAAATAAGACTTTACTAGAAGTATAACTACGATTATTAAATGAACTTTATAGAAACTAAATAGTAATCGAATATTGGTCGAAGTCTGTTAAGATCATCAAAATAATCTATTGAAATTTTTTCACAGATTTTATAGGACTAAAAGCCATATTAATTTAACAACTGATTCTCTAATCTTGGATGCTCACTGACATGTAAATTTCTATAAAATATGAAACTCAGCCCAAACATAACTGATTCTTTATCGTGAGAATTTGTATAGACGATTTCTATTGCCAAATTCAGGACGAATACTAGGATTATGAATTTTTACTTTTTTGAAGATTTGTGAGTCAATCATTCCAAAAAATATAAGAGCAAGAATGCTGTTGCTTATTTTTCTTGTGTACGAAATCTGTGAAAATGGTAAGCGTACACTCTTTCATCATGATCAACGTCGCTTCACAACTGAGGATAAAAGAAAAACGAATCAATTAACTTCATCCATTAATACACAAACTGCGAGCGGACCTGATGACAGGTGAATAGCAAGCGACCGAGTCTTATTGAAATTTTTTATGTGAAAGATGATCTCTTCCTATTTTTAGAAATAACTTTGGGCGAGAACCCGAAATTCTTCTTCTTACTGATGAAATGTTCAGTGAACAGGGAAAAGAGTAAATATAGCTTTTCAGTTTCACTTCTAATCTTTTTTAATTTTTAGCCTTGATTTAAAACTCACAGTCATTCCTCAAACAAAAACTCGGTGTAAAAATGCAAGATCATTATTCTGTGGATTAAAAAACGAATATCCTATCAGCACAACATATGAAACAACTCGATTGGCTTGTTTACTAGTACTGGACGACGAGGTTTTATGGGATTATCTGTTACTCTCAAAGGCTATGATCTTTTCTAGTAAACATATAAATTATTCTTTTATTTGGTCATTATAAATATTTTGAAAAATCATTTTTTCTAGAATCAAGTGATAATATTGGTGATATTGAGATTAAAGATGGAAATAATATATTTATTGAACAAATACCTGTACAATTATATAAACGCAAGAGAAACTTGAATCAATCTCGTATGTCTGTTTCACGATGGAAACCTGTGCTATTAAGGAAGGGCTTTTTTTCATTCTCTAGAAACAGTAAATATACGTCCTCGTAAAGGTAAAAAAGTTCCACAAACTATGGAGCATACAGAAGTTTCGAATTCGAAAGTAAATCAACATCAGCAAACTCAACTAATGCATGTTTCTTCTGAACATCAAACTAGTTTATCAATGCCAACAACAGAACAACTTCAACAAAGTGCATATGTTCCTATCTCACAATGCTATCTTTTAACACCTGTGCATTCGATGACAACAGGTTTTCTCGATGCTCAGGTTAGTTTTTTCGATGAATCATCATTTTCTGTGAAAAATTGATGACGACTTAGTCTTTATAACTATGTCCAATATTCACCTAAGTCGAAACACAGGTTATATCCTTTGACGCTTAGCTATAAACTGAAAAGGAATATCATCTTTCTTTATTGTTAAAATTTGCCTTCAATGATTGTAAAATATAAAAAGATTTATTTTTCTCATTCGTTGTATTTGCAGTGTTAAGTTACACAACTGAATTAGTTTCTCTTCTGGAAAAGATTGGATCTATGTCATATCAATGAATATGCATGGTTTATTAAAAAAGGCTAGATTCATACAAAAACTACTTTTGAAAACGAAATTTTGTCATTCAGTATACAATATCATAAATAGCAACGAACAATCAAGCGCATAGAATATTACATATTAAATCAGCTATGATTTGATGCGTTGTTGAGACATGAACAAGCGTTAATATAAAATAGTAGGCCACATTATTTGCTATTTATGTTGTCTCATTTTTAATTAGATGTCAGATAAGCATTTGTTAAGTATAGTCCAGTGCAAACACTCGAAAGTAATGCTGTGAGGCGAATAGCACACTCATTTTAACTATCCACTCAGTTCTAACATTCGCAAAAATGCGTTCAAAATCACATAACATTTAAACATATAGTTCTACTTTCCTCATAATGATACATTCATCTTATACAACTAGTCTTCCGTACTCAAAATTTATTAAGTGCTGTAATATGCTACTTTAGTTAAAAATATCTATTGAATCAATGTTTTTTTCAAACTAGGTTTATTGAGTTAAATATAAAATTTCTCCTTGTTATAAAATACGCTTCAATCTGTTTTAAATGGAAATATGTTGATAAGTGTGAACTACGTAGTTGACTGCAGAAAATGTTTTGGCTTACAAATTATTTCATATTTCAACAAGATCAATTGATGGAAATTCAACTTATATTATAACAAATTGTCTCAGAATCAAGAGTATGTTTTTGTTGTTACTGTTATGCATGTATAATGCTAAATTTGACATTCTCTGCTAATTATTATTTTCTCCTTTTCATGTATTATACGTAAACCACAAATAGCCAACAAGAATTCTTGGTCTGTATAAAGTTTGAGATGATCTCAGGGTGAGTGTGGGTGGGTGTGGATACCAAAATGTATTTAACCACACCCACACCCACACCCAAATTCGAGTTGTCTTGAGTTCAGTTAGCACCCTTCTGTCTAATGTTAATAATATTGCATTTTTTCCACCAATTAATAATTAGGAACGATTTATATGTATACAATAGGATACATCCAGAATCCTCATGTCATCCTACTCAGAAGTAACAGAAGACTCCAGCTATAACAATACTTACTCATATGAACGTTATGAAAACTATTCGCAAGCCTCGGTATCTCTGCCGAGCATTGGCTCGTTTCTAAATCAGCCTATCATGGATACATCAGTGACGGTTCGTATTTTATATGCCATGAAAAAGTATGATTTTTACTTTTTTTTAGAATATCTCTTCGAATTCGATGAACGATAATGGAATATTTGAAGACATCGGTCGATGTGGTGATAATATATAATGATGAGCAACCTAGATTTCAATTTCAATTTTTATAACTCGATATAAAATTACTAACTATGACAATCTGTAGTATGTGAAACAATTGTTTGGATACTATGAGATACATTTTTTGCCCAGAAAATTTCACAACGAAGAAAGAATATTTTCTTGACTTTGATAAAAACATTCGATAGACTGAAGCTTTCACTTTATTCTACATGAATAGAAAACTTTTGTGAAAAAGGTTTTAAGAATTTTGCGAGATTTTCGATAAACCACACGATTTATTGTATAAAAACTTATTTTTACACTTATATTTGTGTTTTCATATTGCCTTTATTCAGGATAAATGTATGTCGATTTATACTTCATTGAATAGAAAGAAAAACATTTTTCTACACAATACTGTCTTTCATAAAAGGAAAAACTTTGATAAAACCTCGAAAAGAGTGTGGGTTTTTTTTTTGAAAAGTAATTGTATGAATACAGTCACACGTCATTAAATTATCTACAAAATGATATACAAGTGTACATAATTAGCAATTTCTGTGAAGACGTTAAAGGCCTATCTTTTCACATCCGTCCTTCAGTGCAGAAAGGAAAGAAAAAAAGTTGTAGTTCCACTCATATTATATAATAGAACAAAAAATTTTTTCCTTCGTGTACTACAAAATCCACTAGAAAAGATACAACTTAAACGCCGTCAAGGAATGTACTACTTTGATATGCATACATACAATTTTGTAGAGAATTTAATACTCTACAAGTCTGTGTCTTTTAAAAATACCTGCAACATGAATTCTTTCTCTGAAAAACCGAGATTAATGAAAGCTCCAAATAAAAGACTTGTTATAATTATCAACTTAGCATGTGTTTTCGTTAATTATTTTTGTAAATGACGAACATGACACGATTGATTTTATTTTCTCTATCGAATGAGGTATTACTCGAAATATACTTATGTTGAATAAAGTTATTATAAAAGGTAAAGTAAAAGAGCACAAATAACATTTTTTGCACAGGAAATCAGATGATTTATCAAAAATCACATAGAATTCCTGAAAGCTTTCTTACAAAACTTGTTTTTATTCTTGCAGAATGAAGTAGAAACTTTTGTCTGTCGAATGATAAAGTTAAAGTGAAGAAAATATTTGTTCTTTGTTGTGAAATTCCCTTCGCAGCAAATGTATCATAGTGTCCATACCATTATTTTACATACTCTATGTCTGTTCATTTATTTGTGTGTTCTTCACTTCTTATTCATTTTAAATCAGAGAAATTAATCCGGTATTGCCTCAAAATTTGTTTGTTTTTTTTTAAATTCTTTTCAGTGTTTCAGTGATTGAAAACGTTCAAAATGGAAGTTTTTTTTTTTTAAGATGCTCTGATATTTTTCTTTCTTTTTATGCTTGTCGTATTGTTGAAAAGCATGACTTTGATTGTATTAACTTTAACAAAAGTTGTTTATTTTTTTTTCCTAAAAATAATTATTCATATCCTTATCAGAATTATGATACCATGAGAACTCGCAAAAAAGTAGAATACTCTCACATACCTAGATACTACGCTAAAGTGCATCGTGGGTGTGAGTATTACTGAGAGTGAGCTCCTGAGTAGAGATAAAGAGAAGATTCACAGTAACATTCACACCAAGACCCGTTGTCCAAATTGTTTTAGTTTTATCTATTAATTGGCATGCTTTGGACACGACACCTTTTTTCATGTACTTTGACCTATTGTAGTGAGAATTCCTCTTCAATCAAACTATTATATTTGGTTTAAAATTGTTGCATTGGAATTTGTAGTTGAAAGGAAAAGAAAACATAAAATCTAATGAACGTACTGAGGCATGTGTGGGTGTCGGTGAATACATGAAAACATTATCGTTTAATTCATCAATTTGGTTTCGGTATTTGTCGTTTGAACAAAAACCTGAATACTGATTTCATCTTACATGTTTTAGTATTTTGATATATCAAACTGAAATTTTTAATTACAAGTATGTCAAAGTTCTCAGCACACACTTGCTAAATGTATTTTCTTCATTTTGATTAAACTCGCTTAATTCAACTATGCGTATCTAATGTTGATGATGTAACAGCGATAGATTGGACGGACAACTCTTTACGAAAAAAACATTTTTGAAACAGAAATTCAAGCTAATAACTTACCATCAAATAATTGACGATAGAAATAACAGTGATCTGTTTAATGATCTAAAATGCGTATTGACTCTAGCTAAGTCTTCAATAGAACTGCATTCGAACCTGATAATTACAATTCAACGGTTTCAGAGATTGACATTTTGAATCCACATAAAACATCAAGAAACTAAATCTTATCGATTATATCGTTTCACAATATCATTCTTGACGCTCTCAAAATATCCAACGCTCTGTTATATTTCTTATCTGTAAGAAATAATATATTCTTTCAGCTCATATAAATATAAAAGGAATGGCCATAGTTATTTTCGCCGCAACGATCTTTACATCAATCATTGTGCAATTGAAAGCAAAGTATCGAGTACTATTTTGTAGAATAGCATATTATAAAGGATCAGTTTTTTCTCGATTAAATGTTTTCAAAAGTAGTTATTCAAACCTTAAATAGACGATATGGCTACAGACTTTTTTTCAATTTGTCTTTTATTAGTCGTTTTCGTGAGAATTTGTCGTATGTGTACGTTGACTGTTATGACCTCGTGATTTACACGAAATCATTAGAGGAATTGCTATTGTTTATCCAATATATGAGCGTATTTGTCGGGTGTGGGTTGGATGTAGATGTGGGTAGGTGTGGGTCTCTTCTTTTCTGAGACTTCTCCCCACCAACACCCACACCCTTGATGACTGATACAAGTCTCAATAAATCAAATAGAAACTCGATGGATTCAAAACCATCCCATTATAGATATCGACATTGAAGATAAGTGGTAAACATTATTATGACGAATGTCCAAGTCAAAATCAACGTGTCAATCTTACGCTGAAAATACGTGTAACGCATCAAATTGACAGACTACATTCATGCTTATCATAATATTTTTTGACAATAAAAGAGCACCGAGAATCTCATGATCATATTGAATATTTATCTATTCGAAAATGTAATAAAAAATTCAATATCAATTTACTCCATTCTACTCAACCAAAAAATGCATTGAGTTATTTTGTACACATTAATATATTTAATAGATTGACAATAACCTATGTGGACGAGTTGAATATTTCTACATCTTCGATTTCAATCGTGAGCATGGTAAGTTTTAAAATTATCTCCAATAAGAATGACCATAGTCATATTATTAATGTCTTTTTATTTCTCTTCTCTACATATAGAAATGCAGACTTTTCTTTCTTGATTTTTTTCAACAAAAAAACACAAACCATGACGACGTGTCTTTGTAAGAAATGAGCATATGAAAATGCGTTTCGGACTAGTAAGACATCTATATCGATATGTTGCGAACTAGCGAAGGAAATGAATCATTTCATTTCTACTGTTTTTGTAACCTACCGAAGACAGGTAGAAAAATAGAAATATATCGCTGCGTCTTTACCAAAATATGATGAATCATTTGCCGCTATGAAAAAAGAGAAGAAGAAAATATGTCATGCATTTGTCAGTGTAAGAAAAGTTTATTCGAAGAAATACATTATAGTCAATGCTGCATATAATTGACTAGATCTATATTTTCAAAAGTTACTTTGTTTTTTACGTTGTCATTGAATTCAACGAATATGACATACATTAGGAAGAAATAAATGAAGCATAACATTACATTACCTACATATTCTGATTTCGTTTCTAGACAAAGATGGACGATGCCGATTTCGATCAAGTACCTCAAATCTTATTCAGTGATGTATCCAGTCTCAAAAAAAGAGGCTGCCCTGGAACTCTTATTCCGTTGACGCATGACACACGTGCTGTTCTATGTGGTAATAATTCAAGCGAAGTCATTGTTGTTGCGACTCGATTCGGGCATGGCAGATGTTTGGTATTTGCACACTGTGATTATCCGAACATATTCCTCAACGTTGAATCCGAAGATCAAAATTTTATCGACAATTGTCGACAATGGCTTGCTCGAGGAGAAAACGCACAATTCGAATCGATTGATGAAGTCAGTTCGATGAACGATGTACAATTTAATAGAAAAATTCTTGTTTGGAATGGACATTGTACAAAAGACGATGCATTTATGAACGATCTGGTGAGGCTTATTTTCTCATCGATCCTTTGTTGAATATTGCCTTTAGTTTTGTTTAGTGTGCCTATTTGCAACAAGGTGGTGCACTCATTTGTGGATCAGTTGCATGGGGTTGGTTGCAAATAAATAAGGGAAAATTTCTTTCAGATTTTCCATTCGCTCGTTTTTGTGATTATATTGGTGTTAAACTAACTGACAATTACACCAATTGTCCAGATCCGATTCTGTTTCGACCTGAATTGATCAAATTCAAAAATATCTATCATGTCACCCAAGAACTTGCCAATGATCCGAATAATATCACAAAGTTGGCTATCATCGGATCGGCTATTAAAGAATTAGGCGATACTTTGCCTAATGTAGCAGTCAAAACACTGCAGAATATTGTTCTCAATGCCGGTAGTGAAGTAGTACCAGCGAGTAATTGTCCGATTCAGGATAAATGCTGTCGTGAACAATCAATTGGTTTATGTGGTATTCTATGTGGATTACCCGGTATCACAGCGCCTGGTATGTAAGACATCAGATCGAACGGGATATATCTTCAAAAATGTGAATTTTAGGTGTCAAGAATTTTCCTGGTGATTTTGATCAGTCACCCCGTATCGAAACGGATGTTATATGTCATATGGAATCAAATGTCAAAGAATGGTATTGCACAGGTGTGTAAGAAGATTTTCGAACTGACCAAGATCTAGTCTACTTTCTTAGGATACTACGTCGCTGCTGGTATCACGATACAAATCGATCTAGTAGAACAAGAAGGTGCAACTGGATGGTCTGCCCATATCGGTTGTCATAGTGATAATCTTGGGGTAAGTTTTCATGCAAAAAAGTCTTTTTTTAATAAAGTAGAATGAAATATTCTTAATTAGAGCTGTAGTGAATTGCGTCGATGGCCATGTATTTCAATGTGTAAACCATTGATTGGTATTAGTGTTCGAATGAGCTCTGCTTTTGGTGGTCTTCTATTTCTACAAAGTCCGGATGGTGAATCGAATTCGATTACTGTTTGTCTTCATCACGTTGTTTTAACACCAACTTATGATCTTACGGATCCAGATCGAGAAACAGCATGGCAAGATCGACATCAATACGACGGTCTCTGGGCTGATATTGCCGGCAAACATATTGTCTTTAATCTTCCTTCAAAAAGTATACGTGATTTAGATAGTACTCAATTAGATCAAGCACTTCAGTTCTGGGACACTGTCGTACTTGCTCATCATGAATTACGCGGTACAACACCGAAAAAACGTGAACGTATTGTTTGTGACGAACAACCATCAGTTGGCTATATGCGTAAGAATATTCCATTTGAAAATTTCTCTTGTTCAATCGTTTCTACGACTGTTTCAGATAGCGGTTATCCGATTGTGACACATTTGGACGTATCTGATCCAAACGGGAATGGTTTCCTATTGAATGGTCCAGCACTGGAAAGAAACGGTTCCTGGGGTCTTTTTCATGAATTAGGCCATAATATGCAACGAGATTGGTGGAGTAAGTATTCAATCGATTGACATCGATTTCTCTCAGACATTTTATTTAGCATTTGCTGGTACCATTGAAGTGACTGTGAATATTTTTACTCTACACGCCATGCATACCGTGTGTCATCTACGACCATGGCTTCATTCATGGCTCCAGAATGAAATAACGATTGCAAAAAAATATATTGAAAATGGATCGAAATTCAATGAATGGAAAGAATCTCCTGGTATTGCTCTATTTGTTTATGCACAACTTGCGCGAGAATACGGTTGGGACAATTTCAAGGCTGTCTTTCATCAATACGAACAAACTCAACCAGATCTTCATAACGATCAAGAAAAAATGGACCGTTGGATCGAAACATTTTCGCGTCAAGTTGGCTATAATTTAATTCCATTATTCAAATTCTGGGGTTTTCCTGTTTCGCAATCGACGATCGATGCTCTGCGAAATTTGGAGATCGCAATGATTGTCGATGAATTCATTGAAATGGCACCGGAACGCTATCAAATCTAAGACACTTTTCTCTGATAAACACGAACTGAAAATTCATCGAACTATATATTTTACAATATATTTCAACGCAGAAAAGTCAAATTTTGATGTGCCA